TAAACCATTAAATAATAAAATAAATAAATATATATATAAAAAAAAAAATATATCCAAAGAAACGTATATAAATAATAAAAAACACAAATAAATACATAAAAATAATTAAGAAATAAATATTATATAAAGAAAATAAATATAATAAAATAAATAAATACAGAAATGTAAAGAAATATATAAAAAAGAAATATTATTTAAAAAGAGAAAGAAAGAAATACATTAAATATTAACGTATACAAATAATCAATACATTATATATACATTCAAATCCATCTGAAACAAATCCTGATTCTCTACTGAAACTGATTTCTGGTCTGATATGATTTTTGACTAATTCAGCAGAATACAACTGTTAAATAACCAAGACGTTTGACACTAGCTTGACCTGTCCCAAGCAACTAATTAATCCTTATAAAAGAGGCTAGTTCAGGTCACTCATTATGCTTGTGAATCCAGATTCCAGTTAAGAAACAATGGAGCAAACCAGCACCTGAACAGCTTCTAGCTTGGCACAGCAACTTGCCCAAAAGTTTAATCAAGTCCATCTAAGTGTAAACAAATGAATACCCTCGGTCGAGAGGGCTTTCAGTTAAACAGTTTGCAAACACAAGCTCTTGGAGTGTGACGTAGAGTGTCAGAACAGGCCTGCCACTGAGGCGGCGCATAGGCCTGGCCAGCAATTACCAAAACGAAAGTTGACCGTGAGGGTCACGTCTGTTTGAAGCTGTCATCCAGGCACGGACGTTTCACCCATTAGCCACTGCTGACATTTTCACCCGCTCACATACTCCAACAAAGGCTTCTCAATCCCTCTCTTGCCCCAATTGTGCTCTAACGCTTAATCCTTGCCTCGTTTGTGACCCCGTGTCAAAACATGCACGTCCCAGTGAGAAGTGCATGCAAAGTTCATTAGAGGGAAAGCAGGCCTGGCCACTGTAAAGTGCACTTAATAGTCATTTGGAACGGAACCTCATGCACCTTTTGCCATCTGCAGACATTAACATGAATAAACTTGTCAAAGTGCTCAAATCATACAAACAGTGATGAGGGACACGTGTTTCCTCTCCCCAGTCATGCGTCTGTCTTTAAGAAGCAGTAAAACAATTTAGCATATAGTTTAAAAAAAAGTTATTTACTTAGCCTATTTTTTTCTTTTTTAAGCAGAAACCTTACTCTTTTTTTGTTGTTAGAAAAGATTCATGCTTAAAACAGGAGAGAAAAAAACAGGATATGAAAATGTAAACTATAGTTTATTAATACAATAGTTACAATAAATTATAGTAAGCTTGTATGTTAACAGTAGTTTCAGCAAGAGGGTATATAATAATAGTACATACATTTTTTCAGGTGATACATTTTTTTGATGATTAGTAAGTTTAGCATTTATTTCAAATTTAATAATTACTAGTTACATAATAATTAGTAATTAATAAGTGTAAATAATTATATAAATGTATCAATTACTGTCAGTACATTAACATTAACCAACATTAAATTCCATACAAAATAATAATAATAATACATCTGAAACAAATTTATTGTGTTTTAAAAATACAGACTAAGGTTTATCATTACTGTTATTATTATATATTTTTTTTTGTAGTAGGAGATACTGCTTTGAAGTTAATAGTAGACAAGTGCAATGTTTCTGAAACAACTGAATATATACTAAATTAAAAGATCAAACATCTGCATTGCATCACAGCATCATTGCATTGCATCACATCTCAAACATCTGCATTGCATCAGAGCACAGAAATAAACATCAGACTGAATACACACATTACAACAATAAAGTGACTAATACACAGAGCACAAACATGACATTCTGCCAAATCATAAACCACATATAACTAAATACCTAAATACAGTGAACCAAATTCAAAAGTAAGTCAAACTCAATTTAAATGAGATTTGTAGTTTTCTGGAAAGTAGTGTTAAAATCAAAAGCAACCATAATAAAAGAACAAAAAATTAACATTGATTGACTTATGGAGATGTAAACCAAACAGATATATTAGGTACGGTTGTAAAATGTATCTAGCATTAGTATAAAGCAAATGATAGTAAGTATGGTGTGGTCTTCTGGTCACACACTAGTCACACACATATTCTGGTGTTAAATACTAGGAAAAACATATTTGTTACCTCCTACGGTTTCTAATGAGTCATAACACGTTGACATGGATGGGTTCGAATGAATGTTCAAAGTAAAAACCACACCACTGGCTCTAATAGGTAGATGTTGAGGAAGCAAAGGTTCCATAACTTCTCCTCTCAAAAGAAAAGCCAATCTTGTGGTTATACTTATAAAACTAGATAGATATGAGGATGGCACTTCTTGTAAGTGGTAGGAACATTCCCAGACATCTATGTTAAAGAAAACTGGGCATGCTGCCATTAATGCCTGCATTAGCAAGGGCAGAGGAACAAGGAACGGTAATAAAGACAGGCGTAAATTTAACATGAGCGCATGTGTCCATCTTAGGCCATCTGCCATTTAATAAAAAGTAGAAACAAAACTTTTACGATTACAAAACTTGTCGCTGCATGTGAGCAATTGAGCATCACAACAAAGCACATTTAACGGTAATGTGTTAAAATATAATTTTTTACTGTACTAAAGCAATGAAAAATACCATAATATAATTTGCAGATATTTAGAAAACACGCTAAGTTCACATACTTGTTTCTCTGAAAAACAATGGTCCTAGGGATGCACGATATTATCGGACCAATATCGGAATCGGCCGATAATGGCTTTAAATGTAAATATCGGCCCGATATGAAAAATTATGCTGATATGTCTTGCCGATAAGAGGAATACATTAACTCACATGTGCTCAGATTAGATCACGTCAACACTGCTATTAGATCATGTCAGCATTGTGGCTCATTCTTGAAGCAAAGTTTTGCCTGAATGGTGATTGAATTCACTGTTTTGAATCGCTGCATTTAAACTGAGAATGCATGTACAGAATCACGCTTTCAGTGTATGATAGAGTAAACAGTAATAGCATGTGCAGCAGCGGCAGCGGCAGCCTCCCAGGGTCCTAATGCCCGCTCAGTAAGGAGTTTTAATTTCGTAGGGGGCGCTGTTGGCCTACTTCTAATAAAATGAAAGCAAAATACACAAATAATATTTAGACTGTGTTTCTGATTAAATAAAGCAGTAATCGATGCCATAAAATCACGAGTATGTTTTTATTTAAAGGCCAGAAGCTATAGCTTACATGAAAAAAAAAAATTATATACATACTGATTTATTCATTATGTGTAATCATGTGTAATATTGTAATATCATGGGTAGAGGTCGACCGATAGTGGATTTTACCGATACCGATAGCTAGGTTGGACCACACTGGCCGATACCGATTAATCAACCGATAGTTTTTAAAATGGTAAACGAAAACTAAAACAGAGCTTTACTATTTTTAAAAAAGCAGTAGCAGTACTGAACCATACTTTGTAAATTAATAAACATATTATTATTAATTATTATATTGATCATTAAAGTTATTTCATAGTTTACTAATGTTAAAAAAAGAAACTTTAAAATGTAAAAATATAGCCTATTAGTAATAGTAAATGTTGAAATGAACACACTAGGAACAATACTTTTACAGCTTTCATTAATATTACAAAAGGACTCTTACTGTAAAGTATTACCATTTAATTTCAACAGTCATGCTAACTTAAAAAATTTAGGAGCACAGTCAAAAATTTAGGAGCACCAAAATTTGATAAAAAAATAGCCTTCCCATTACGAGGTGATATTTGACTCCTTAAAGTGATTTACAGTAGAATTTTGTTTTTACCTTTGTAATGGCATTTTTCTATCTTTATTAAAAGTATGTAATCTTTTATGTCAAATTAAAAATATATATAT